TTCAATTGGGGCACAGGGTGGGAAGGGAAGCGTTTTGCTTAGATGTTTTCAAAGCAGAAGGCTTCTGAGTTTGTCTTGCTGTCTTCGGTTTCAAGACCTCCTCCAGTTTCAGGAAAAAAAAAAAACTTTTTAAAAAAAATATTTAAAACATCTGTCAAAACAGAAACTTCTCAGCACAACCCAAATCTGAGTTTTCCAAGACTTCGTAATTTGCTGAAAATATTTGTGGCAAAATTTCTTCCTAGCTCTTTCCCAATACAAAATACTTGCAAGCTGGCACTGAAGGAGCACGCTGTGACTTGCAGAGCTCTCCTGTGCTTTTTCACAGCACTTCTATGGAGATCCATCAATGTGTGAGGAAATGGGGGCAAAAAGACTACTAGATATCCCGGAAAAGGAGCATGGAGGATTGTGTCATGTTGTACCTTCAGATTAAAKTAGTAAAACTTCATTTGTTATACATAGATGGCTGGTTTAATTTTCAGGCATGGCTCATCTCCATTAGCTTCAGCTGCTTAAAAATTAAACAAGATTAAACAAAAACTGAACAAAATTAAACAAAAATTAACTCCTTCCCAATACATGTAAGGCACCTTTTCAAAGATGCCTTCTCTAGCACTGATCTTCACCTCCCTACAAGGAAAGTGGACCTTCCACTAACTACAAAGTGCATGAAGCTGGGAGGGACACTTGTGGTTTCCACCTCAAAGGGCAGAGTTAAGGGAATCTTCACCTGTGGGCAGCAACATTGACTTAAGCTGATTCATTATACGTTCCCTAAAAATGATTTTGTCCACAAGGCAGCGGCATCTGGCATTTTATTGCATTTTCCTATGTTTTTGAGTTGGTTCGAGAGCAGAAAAGAGGAAGGGAAAGGCATTTCTCTGTCTGACATGTGTGGATGTTTTCCTGGCCTGCTACCTGTGTAAGGGCAGGCTTCTTTATGTCCTCCTGATTTTATTGCTGGCTTTCCCATAAACGTCGGGCCCTGCCTACTTTTCTCTTTACATTCAGGATCACATCTTGCTCTTCTGAAGCAGTTTATGGCCTGGAGAAGCAGAAACACATCTGAGTTGCAGACCGCAGAGCCTGGGACCTCTTGGTAGCTCTAATGGACGCGTGAGTCGCCAGCCACCGGACAGGACCATCGGTGATGAAAACRGTACCAGGTAAAAGGGCCCATTTTATGCCCTGAAATCTGGTCGGTGCCAGCAGCGCATCCACAGGCAGCGGTGACACGGATGGGCCATCCCAAAGCTTGTGCTCCTCTTGGGGAGCCAGCACTGAGCGCTGCACCCACGGGGCTCACGCAACCCTGGCCCCATGGGGCTTCGTCCCGCCAGCTCCTTCCTCCTCCCTCTCTGGCAGAGCTGGAGTCTCAGGGTTCTGCAGCACACGCGCCCGTGCCAAATCCCTCTCCAAAGCAGGCGTTCCTAATCATGCATAAATACGGCGGTGGATATAGCCGTCTGTGTTGCTCCAGAGAAAGCCTTTGATCCTGGATTGAGAGCTCATGTTTCAGGTGTTTGGGCAAATCAAAAGTACAAAATAGAAACTCCAAATTGCCTTGTAATTTTTAAGAGGCAGATCAGGAAGACACTGCTTGCTGGATGGGGAACAGATGTGTCTCCATCAGCTTCACCGCTGTCCAGAGCAGCTCTCCTTCCCGCAGGGGCCCGGAGCCAGGGGTGGTGGTGGTTTGGGGAAGGTGGCTCCAACGTTTATGGATCCTGTCTGGGAAAGGGGGTGTACAAGCCTGTCTGTCTGTCTGCTCTTCAAACTCCAGTCTGAACTTYGGTTCAAAGCTGGCCCTGTTCCTCCTGCTCCTTTTCACCTTGGGTTTTCCAGGACTCATAAGCATTCCTGGCCTGGAATTGTACTAAAGACTCTGGTTTCCTCCACCCAGGCAAAGGGGAGAGGAATCGGTTCCCCCTGCCAGGGGATATATTACCTCCCTCCAGGCAGGTGGTCATTGCTGCTTGATGGGGCATTACCTGGCAGTTGAGGGACTCACCTGCAAGATGTGGAGAGCTACAGAAGCCAAGGGTGCTCCAGGAGCCTGGTGTCCACCTCCTCCCGGCTCAGTCCAAGGCACTGGAAAGCAGCCCGTGGCAGTGGGGCTGATGCTTCTCATTGCTGTGGTGACTCCACTGCTGGAGACACACAGGGAGCCTTGAGGTTAAGGCAAAGCTTCTGAGTCACGGCTGCTGGAGCCACCGAGGCAGCAGCACGGTGCCAAGATGCTTTCTGATGGAAAATAACGGCAACTGCACTTGGCATTGAGAGCGAACCTGAGCAAAGCCTGGCCAGGAGCCTGGGAGAGAGACAGTTGCCTTTGCCTGCCTGGATACCCCTGGAGATCTCAGGCCTGGGCTGCTGTCGTGGTGGAACTGGCAGGATGTTCTCCCTGTCTGAGGTGCATGAGGCAACTGCCCAGCACCTGAAGCAGCAGAAGAGCAGGGATTTGTTCCCAGGCCTGCACACATCCCCCGGGACCAGGACAAGGCCTTGGTGCTTGGTTTGCTCAGGGAAGTGCTGCAGAGGGAACACTTGAGGGTTCCTGCAGGCCAAGCCAACTGCTGGGGTGCTGGGGTGCTGCTGGGCAGACTTGGGAAAGAGGTTCCCTTGCCTAGGAGAGGAGCTAGCCCCAAGTATGGAGAGAGAAGCCATCTCCTTGGGGCTAGTGTTTGCTCTGGCTTCCCAGGAATAGCTGCTAGAGGGCCTGTAAGGTGGGGTGGGGAAGCCCATAGAGGTCCCAAAATGTCCCCAGCTGTGTCAGGAAGATTTTCAGTGGGTGGTTTCCAACATGGGCTGAAGTAGAGCAGAGCCACGCAGTGCTGAAGCTTCCTCCAGCACCCTGAGGAGCTCAGGGACCACAGAGTGGTCCCTCCTCTCCATCACCCTAGGAGACCATCTCCACCCCTGCCTCACTTCAGTGCTGTGCTCCCTGAAATCTCCTGACCATGGTGGAGGGAGTGGGATCCGATGGGACAGCTGCTGTGAATTAGAGCCCTCTCAGCTAAATTGCCGCTGTGCCTTCCCCCTCCCACTGCCCAAAAGCAAGCTGCAAGCCCCTCTGAGTTTATGATCTGCGAGTTCATGCAGCCTCCATTAATTTTATGAGTAGATTTCCCTCTATCTGCTCTCATATATCAGCCGCGGGAGGTGGAGGATGACGTAAGGCCGGTGGGACGYGGAGCGCCTGGCGTCCTAGGTGAGCTTCCCTGCCCGGCCTAGCAGCCCTGCTCGCTCCATAGCTTGGACCTGGCTGCAGGAATAGCCTGGGACTCCCTCACAGCACACAGCCACGAGCGGCCCGCACCGCCACCACGAACGGGGCGGAAGGGAACGGGGTTGAGGTCCTGGAAATGCATCTGCTATGTTAACATTAAAGCTCCAGAGGGTAAAATAATGCGGATAATGGGCACAAGGGGCTGTTAAAATTGCCCTTTTTTGGCTTTAATTTGCCCAGCCTAGGTGGCTCTTGCATGCGGGGAGCACTAAGAATCCCCAGGGCCCCTGAGGGCTGTGGAGGCAGAGTGAAAGAGGGACATAAACCCCAGACCTTGCCGTAAACCTGTGGGGTAATTGGCAGCATTGCACTTCCTATGAAACCCAAGAAGGAGCTAAGTCCTCGGATAGGGAAGGGCTTTTTGAGGAAAGTGCAAAGGAGCCTGCTGGAAACTCCAGGTTTACCTCAGGYTCCGCTTCTCCTTCCCGTCAGGAGCAGCTGCTGGTGCAGCTCCGGACCCAGGCATGGCTATTCCMGCTCCGGGATGTCTGCCAGGGGCCAGAAACTGCTGGAAAAGCCTTGCCTGAAGCTCTGCTTCCCCAAACGTGCTGCAAGGGGCAGAGGGGCTCTGCAAGGATGTCCCCCAACCAGCTGCTCCGCCTCATCCCCCTTCTTCCCCTCTTTGGGTCTGGCGCATGGAGCCTGGGCATGAGCYGGGACCAAGCCCCTAAGCCAAGAGGGCCGGTTTTGGAGCTGCCAGGACCCGAGCCTGCAGGCTGGGGCCCAAATGAGGACTTTTTTGGCAAGGTGCTATTTCCCCCTGATCACTTTCAGCATTTCGGGGTCATTTTCAGTGAAGTTTTTTGATCTGCTCATTCTTTTGGAAAAAAAAAGAATATCAGTTTTAGTTCACTTTGCCAGCCCTTTGTATCCATTTCCCAAATGGCAACACTTGGGAATTTTTTACCAACATTGTTCAAAGACTTTGGGGACTTTTATTTTATTTTATTTTTTTCCCTGGGATCAATTTTGCAGTGGAAAAATCCCATTTTTCAGCTACCTCTGCGCATTGGTTCTGACAGAGGAACATCCTCTCCCAAACCAACGGTAACGAAACCACAAAATCTGTTCTCAAAGAGGCAATCAAAAAGGAGAGACACAGAGAGAGAAACCAAGCAGAATTTCTTTTTCTTTCTACGTTCTGAGAAAGCCTGTGAACGATCCTGCTTTCAATTCTCCAGCCTTCCCAGAACATCGTAGTAACGTTACAAATTTAGCCATAAAGCTGCGGTTGAGTTATAGTTATCATTGTAAAACAATAATAACTATGCAGATACTTATTATGGTGCATTAAGTTACAATGATAGTAAATCTGTCATAATAACCATGGCAACTCTCTTAGCCGCGCAGTAGGAATCCTGCGATGTTATTGATAAAATCTGCTGAACTCTGCTGTCTTACCCTCCGCAGAGCCGCTGTACCGTTTTATTGTAAATGGGGATTAAACGATGCAAACCATATCTCCCCCGGCAGTCRTTGGTGCTCTTCGGTTGCATGAAGCCCTGGATGCAATGCTCTGGATGGTCAGATCTGGCCAAGGATGGTTGAGGAGCTTTGCAAAGCTTTGGTCTAAATGAGGGGCTGGTGGATTCAGTTGTCTGATGGCTTCTTGGGACTCGCTGGTGTCTGGGCAGATCCCACCCCACGTGTGGTTTCTTGCCCCTGTGCAGTGTTGGGTGCTGCAAGAGCAGGTCACAAGGCTACGCTCATGGTCCAACACCTGCCTCCCAAAGGTGAGAGCCTCTGGAAAAAAGACCCAGCTCCAAGCAGTCGGGAAGAGCTGGAGACATCTCTGCTGTACCAGGCTGGAGATGGTTAAGCGTTGCTGGCTGGCAGGAGCCAAGAGCTTTGGAGAGCCGTCTCGGCGGCTGCCAGCCCTTGGGAGCGTGCCGGAGGCACATCGGCAGCCGTTGAGCCTGACTCAGGCTGTGGTCGGGCTGCAGCCCCCGGTGCAAAGATTCGCATCATGTGGCCAAAGCTCTGACATGTTTTACGACCCTGTGCTGTCTCCCTCCCAGCTCTGTCCAGCCTCGCGAGTGCCAGGGGAACCCACAAGAAAGGCTGTTCTCATGAATTTCCCTGACTTGTTTTGGGGCAAGAGAAGATCACACTTCTCTGGGAGCCAAACCACAGCAGCTCCTTCCGAGTTTCTATCAGCCTCATGCATGCACTGCCCTCGCTCAAGTAAGAAGCAACATCTGCACGGGTACCRGTTTGTCCAGTGTGGGATGCCTACGGAAGCACAACCAGCTTCTGGCACATCCACATCCCATCTGTATAGGCTGAGACAGCGTGGATAGACCCAGCTGCAGTGACTTCCCCACTCGGACCCATTGCAAAGTGGAGCTCTCCAAGTGGGCAGAGCCATCAGGTCTCCATGCTGGCAGGAGTGGGTGGCAAGAAGAAGCCCCCACTGATCATGTTTGAGTTCCCACATCCTGTAAGAAGCGGCTCCATCGTAGTCATCTAYGTGGGGTAAACCACAGAGGAATGATGGCTCCTTCAGGCTGGCATGACAGCCTATTCTTGGCACATGCCACATGTGTCCATGTCCCTGCAGGCCACTCGAGCTGGGGACCTGGGCAGTGAAGGTGCCTCAGGGCTGGAGGAGGAGGGATGGGATGAGATGAGCTCTGTCCTGTTGCGCTGGGCTCACTCCTGCTCCATCTTCCTCCCTGTGAGCATTGCCAAAAATGGGTATGTTTCTCCTCTTGTCATTTTTCCATTGTGTTTCATGGTTTAGGGGAAAAAAGACTAATAATTTATCACCGTAATAAGGATTTTCTGGCCGAGGAAAAGCCCATTAATGTCTTGCTGAGCATAGGAACTGAAGCTCTGTTGTGAGTGTTTGTATTTTCTAATTACTCGCAGATGACTTGATCATGTCAGCATGCAGCCGAATACTGGAGTTTAAGCCCTGGTTGGCCCCATTTGGCTCCTCCAGCCACGTCCGCCAAGGTAGGGAAAACTTTCAGAGGTGGTTTTGAAAGGGGAAAAGATGTCAGAGCCCCARTCTGCTCAGAAACAGCCCTAAAAATCCACATTGATCCTACCGGAGATGCTTGGTAGGTTCGTTCCTGTTCCTAACGGCCTCTTCATGCCAGGAAGGAGCTCTCTAGGGTAGGTGCAACTATTGGAARTCAGAGAAGTTGCCGTGAGTCAGTGAGATGCCCTCAACTCTCAGCAGTTGGGAGCGTTGGTCCTTCCGAGTAACGTTTACCCTTTAAATAGGTCAATTTGTGGCATTTAGGGGAAAAAAAAGKTTTTGAGGAGGATGCCAATGTATTTTGTTCATCTGAGGGGCCAAAGCATCCAGCCATGCCCACTCCAAGCTTGCAAATGGTTCTGGTGGGGCACTTTCAATGCTTACTKCTTTAGTAGTATTATGAATTGGGAAAAATGTGCCCGTGTATATGTGTAAGGAAAACATGTAAGGAAAACTCCACCTTTGAACTGGGGAATCTTCCTAGTCTCTCCATGTGACTGAAGCCCAGGGAGAGACCAGCTCAGAGGTTGATGGAGCCTGTGGTGACCTTGCTTGGTGTCAAACCGCTTCGCTCCAGGAGGGCTGTGCTGGGAATTTGTGCGAGTCTGGGGGAGTTTTTGTTGTTGCTTTGTGTTTTCTCCCTTTTCCCACTGTTTGATGTTGCCAGGAGCACCCGCTCCTGCAATTTCTGCTTTCAGCTGCATGTTTGGCTTTTTCCTTTTCCTTCCCATGTAAGGATCTGTGGACAGATTTTATCTCTGTTCACTGCTGATTGGAAATTTATCAGTGTAATTGCACAAACTTATGTTTTATAGGTTACATATTAACACTCTTAAATGGCAATCTGGTATTTACTGTAAGTTATATTAACTGTTACTGATTACTATTACAGCAAACGCTGCCATAAGTATTGAATGAGCTCCACATCCAGCTCCCTATTGATGCCTATATTTGCAATGCTTCCCTACTACCGAGCTGAGCAAGGGGACTCCAACTGTCTAGACTCCTTGGTACGTTTACATGGCTCGTGTGATGGCTTTCATATGTTGCAAAATCTGAGCTTTCTATTAAAAAATAATAGCTTGGCTCTCTAGGTTTCCAATGCTGCTCCATGCCCTCTTTCCTCCAGGAACAAAAGCCCCAATGGCAAACTTCTGCAGTGCTTTAATTTAACTAATACTGCGTTTTCTGCCCCAATATGTGGACACTTATCTTGAGGGTTGAACTGGCACTGTGTGGTCCAGCCAAATATGTTCTTGTAGGGAGAGGATATTGCCTTGGAGCATCACATCGTGCTCATTCAGAGTGGAAATTGTAAAAGTGGGGACTCCCATGGCTTGAGTTTTCCCACCTTTTGAACAGACCTGGTGCTGCTGGGGCCCCGAGGGGCTGCTGTGCCCCCAGGCCGGGTACAGCACAGGGTGCAGGAGGAGGAGGCTGGTAGCSCGGGTACAGCACGGTGCTCATCGTGCGCCGTCTTACAGGCTCAGGGTGCCGCTTGTTGCCCCAAGGGCTCTCTCTATTCCTGCGTTTGTGCCTCTAAGGGGAGCCCAGGAAGGCAAATAGCTGGCGAGGAGGAGTCTCCTAGCACATACTATTGGAATAACACATGGGAGTATGATATTTTTGAAGCGTTCTTGCCACAGCACAGCCTCTTTGAAGTGTGCTCAAGCAAAGCGCACGGTGCCAAGAGCGGGGAAGCAGCCCTGAGTACCAGAGGAGCTCGGCTGCTCCGATCTGCTGGGGTATTCCACAGGTATTTCCCTGATAACAGCCCCTGGCTGATGCCCCAGGCTGGCTGATGGCATTTAGGCTGGTATGCATCTTTCACCCCAGTCATAAACAGCTTTCTGGGAAGAATACTTTTGGGGAAAGTCGAGTATTGCTTTCCCTTCCTCCTGATGCTCTTGTGCACAGAATTAAATAATGCTCTTTCAGTTAGCTCTGGAGGAAAGGGAGTGGGGTCGGAGCTCTGGGAGAGCCTCTGGTGCCCAGCTAACCTGTGCCAAAGCCAGAGGCATCTCTGCATCCTGCTGCTCGGTACCTGAACTAAGCGGGGTGAGGAGCTGGAAGCCTGCAGGTCCTGGAAGAAGTTGGGTGTCAGGGATGAGCAGCTCGCTCTGGAGGGTCCCGTGTTGAGCACACTGGGGTCCTCTCCGCTGCAGAGCCCACGGCACTTCATCTCCTCCCAGCACAGAGCTGTGGGAGCTGCTGGGGCTGTGGGGAGGCTGTGAGGCCATCGCGTACCTGTTTGATCTTGTGGTGTGTGCTGTGAGCTTGTGATGAAGTTCTTGGGTGAAGCAGTGGAGAGGTGACAGCTGCAGGCAGGCCCCCAGCCCATCCTTCTCTGGGGTACAGATGTTGGCCGTGCCATTTAGCCGGCCACTGGAGGATGTTCCTGACACATCTGCGTGGAGGGGAGCAGTTATGGCTTGCAGGGGCTGGAGGGTCTCTGAAAGTTGGTTCTTCTCCAAGGGGGAGTGAAATTTGGGTCATTTTGAGGCCCTCTGGGAAGGAGCTCAGGACCAGATTGCTGCCTGCTGAATTATTCTGGCAGGGGGGACCCTGTGGCATTTGGTGAAGTGGCAGAGCCTTTGCCTAAAGGCTTGGATTCGGAGGAGCTGAGAGAGGGAGCATTGACTCAGGGCTTTCCCTTGGACCTTGAGTCATGTCCTCCTTGAAGGATGGAGAAACTGAGGCACAGGGAGGTCCTGGCCCACGTTCTGCCCCTGGTTCCGCTCGGAGGAGCGACTGGCCACGACCTGGCTCCGTAGGAGCTGGCCAGGCTCTGCACAGGCCCTGGGAACCTCTCAGCGAGCCTCGGCAGCCCTCGCTTCCAMCCGAGCTCATGGCAGTTCCGCTCCTAATAAGTTAATCTGATGGGTTTTGTCATGAGCAAAACAAGAAATCACGTTTTTAATAATAAAAAAAAGGGCCCTGCATCTTGTTAACATCTGGAGTTCAATCATTTCTGTGCTCAAAACTGTGGAATGCTTCAGCACGATATAAATCTTGCCACTTGCCGTGCATGGGCTCCAGATGGGGCGGCAGAGCCGCGCTCGCTGCCGGCCCACGTGGGCGCCGGAGCCCACGGAGCCACCGGGGGTCCAAAGGGTGCCCGTGGCACCCAGCATGTGGTTCCCAGCTGAGCATCGCCCCTCGGGACAGGGGCAGGAGGCTGCAAGTGCATCAAGGAGGTGACTCCCCAGGGGGCACCCGGGCTCCAGAAGGAGCCTCCATCTACTTCCCTGGAGGCAGGAGCAAGGGCCACATCCCTGCGCGGGGCACGAGCAGATCCCGCAGGGTCCGTGCCCGCTGCCCCCTCCTCCTCCATCCTCCCCTCCACATCCCTGATAAACACGTTAAGGGCTGGAGCGGGACGTGCAGGGGGATGCCCAGCTCTTAATCCAACGTCAGGCTGCAAATGAATCACGTAGCGCCGCGGAGCTGCCGCTCGGGCATCCCTGGTCGGCGCCAGCTCCTTCCCTTGTGCCCGGTGACCGTTTCATTCCCTGACAGGTCTCTCGAGGCAGGCACTCGACACGGAGCAGAGCGGAGCCATCGCCCCGCAAACGCTCTTAACGAAAGCAAGGGGATTTATTCTCTCTGAAAGTTTTCTTTAATAATTTTCACTTAAAAAAATGAAAACCATGGTTTTTCGGTTAAAACCAAGCTCTGGCAGCTGGTGGCCAAAACCCCCTGGTTTTCAGGTTCCTTATGCTTTTGACAAGCTAGGCAATTTTCCATGAAAATAGAGCTCTTTTTTTTTACCCTTTTTTATATTTTTAAGGTAGCCTTCAACTGAAAAACGATCTGCTAGAAAACAGTTAGAGGGGAATTTTTCAACCAGCTGTAGTCAAGGCCCTGATGGGAGGAAGCCGGTSGCAGACCCGTGTGCAGGGATGGGAAATAAGGGACAGGAGGCTCGGGGTCGCCTCGGACGCGCTCGGCAGCAGAGGCTTAGCTCTGCCACCACGCGTCCGGTCGGATATCCCGGATATCTCCGGAGAGGATGGAGCCGAGGGGAAGGAGGAAGCGGAGGAAAGAGGCCTCTCCTCCCCAGGATGCCTGATTTGGGCTGAAAATGAAGAGTTTTACTCAAAGTGTCTGTCGTCTGCAGAGCCCAGGCTGCTGAACAGGCCACGGCTCTTGGTGGCGGACACTCGGTGAGGACGAAGGCTCCTGGACTCCTCCTCGCAACGGGGAGGCGGAAGGCGGCTGTTTGCTTTTCCTCTTGTCTCCGGGTGAGGATCTGTTGATATTGTTTGCTAAACAGGAATGCCAGTGGCAGAGGAATTAGAAGAAATCCCGTCTTAATTGGAAACAGTGAGTTTGTGTATTTTTTCAGTTGTCTATTTTGGGCCTTGTAAAATTAAAGTTATTAACTGTAATGCCGCGGTTTCCAGATTCCCACAGCCCTTTACAATAGCGGGGAAATTCATCCCAGGTCACTGGGAGCCTTTAATGAATACATTAAGGCCTTATTATTAAAATAAAGTACTTGCAGCTTTACGGGAGACATCTGGCAAGGGATGCTCGCGCCTCCGAAGGCAGCAGGGCTCCGAGCGCGGCCGCTCCCGGCAGCCTCCGCTTCTCCCGGCAAACCCGGCAGCGCAGAGGCTCTTTGCCAGAGCGGCCACACCGGGATGCGGCTTCTCCCTTCACCATCCACTTATGTGGATGCGTTCCTGTGCATTTTCCTGGAATTTTCTGCGGTAAAGGTGCTGGGAAGCTGAGGCCGGGGACGGTTTTCCTTGGCGGGGCTCGCCATCCAGATGCTGGGCCCACAGGGGTGGCAGGGCCCAGAGCCCCGACTGGCGCCGGATCACACAGCGCAGCCCCGGATGCATCCCAGAAAAATTCCTTGAGGAAAGCTGGGAACTGARCCCTTGGGTTTCAGCACGATTAAAACTCCCTGGTGTCGGCGTGCAGGTAGCGAGCGGCCAGGCCCCGCGCGCCGCCGGGAAGGCTC